TATTGAATATGTTCTTAAAGAAATTGCATATCTTAACCCCAGCCTCGGAATGATCCATTGTACCAGATGTAGAATCATGATTTGGACAAGTGGCTACAAGGGAGGGATCTGATGCAAAGACAGACCCTTTTTGAAAAGAAAGAAAGAAAGAAAGAAAGAAAGAAAGAAAGAAAGAAAGAAAGAAGTAGAGGGTAAGGGAGCAATGGTGCCCTGGTTCTTGGCTAGCAGCCAAGCAGTGATGAGGGAAATGACATTTAATTTGCACATAGTTGCTTAGTTGTTCTGGCAGTTGGGTTAAAGGGAAAGCAATGGGACCCTGGCCTGGAAGGAAATATCTCCTACAGCACTCCTACTAATAATTCCTACAGAACAGATAATGATGTTGGCAGTGACATTCAGCCTGCAGGCAGCACAGCATTTATGGTAACAGTAGAAAAGGTAGTGGCACCCTGGTGCCAGGGCTTGGTATAGGCCCTGGCCAGATAGTAGGAAGACCAGAAACAGTGTTCAGATGGAAAAGACCTGCAGTTAGTCCCTTTCTTGTCTAATACTCAAGTTACAGAGATACTTAGGCAACAGAGGGTACCCAGAGAGCCTGGCAAGAGTGAACATCATGGTATAGCAAGAAAGAAGGGGTGACAGAGGGAATATGCATTTATATGGTACCCATTATGTACCAGGTACTGTGCTAAGTACCTTTTACAAATATTATCTCATTTGAGCCTCAAAATAATATTACAAGGGAAGTGCTATTGTCATTTACCATTTTACAGCTGATGAAACCGAGGCAAATACAAGTTAAGTGGCTTGCTAAAGGTCACACAGCTAGTAAGTGTCTGAGGCTTGATTTGAATTCAGATCTTCCTGACTCCAGGCCAAGTGCTCTATCCACTGTAACACCAGTTGCCTCTAAGGAAGAACATTGGCACTGGAGATGGAGGACCTGGGTTTAAATCCAACGTCTGTCACTCAATAACTGTGTGACCTTGGGCAAATCATTTAATCTCCCTGGGCCTTACTTGCCTCATCTATTAAACGAGGAAGCGTTAGACTTCCAGCTCTAGTTCTATGATCCTATGACTCTATAGCCAGCATAAGCCAAACACACGTTTAGGCCTGAGGCTGCAGATCAGTATGTCTGAGGATACTGACAGGCACCCTTGGCCATATCTATAAGCTGAAGAATTCTCACTAGAAGACCCTGGTCCATTAGGCCAGTGTCTATGTCACTTCAGGAGAAATGTACCCATTTAGTCAAACAATGCCAATCATCACTTGCAGGATGAAGTGGCGCAATGTACCTAGAGAAGATGGCACACCCTGGGAAGCAGCCCCATGAAGGCAGCATGATGACTTCACCAGTTGTTACTTTGCATGAGTGCCCTGGCCTATTCCTTCATATGTGACTCCCGTGCAATCTTACTCTTTGCTGATGGTATATATGTTTATGGCAGAGTCTGCTCTAGGTTTATGGAGGAAATATTCTATTGCAACTTGTCTCACTATGTTATTCCATTAAATACCTTTGCTTTGAACTAGTATGTCCTCTGACTGATTAGATAAAAAAGTAAACACATCAGTGGGGGCTCGTGAACTATGGTTTTGGGCAGACATGGACCCACAGAGGGCCTTGAACAAGATATATCTATTCTGAGGGCCCCATATGTGTGTGTATGCATGTATATGTGTGTGGGGGTGGAGGGTGTTTTAGATGCTATACATAATTAAAACTATGAAATAAAGATGTTATTCTTGCAGCTTTCAAGCTTTGCAGTTACTAAGCTCTCATGACACTGTGATCATGGGAGAGTTTTTCAATAGAGTTGCTTCATATCTGTATCATAAAACTTGGCAGCTGTGAATTTGTCATATATTTAAAATGAGATTTCAGATACTTCAATTCTGGCCCTTGTATTAGAGATAATGTGATCAACTACAAGTGTTTGGGAGATATTCCAAAATGACTAATGGAATGTTATTTTAAATTTAGACAATCTCCTGTAGTATTAAAGAGATATATCATTTTTACCACTCCCTACCCTAAAGTGATTACGCATCTAATTACTTCTATTAAAGCTCAATTGGAATGACCCCAGCAGTAGTTATGATTTCATGATTCATACATACATTACTACAAATCAATTGTAAATGACTCTTCATTTTAAAATTAGTAAGTGAACTCTTCTTGTATGTTTCAGGATCTAAAACACCCTGAAGACAGATCCAATCAATCTTTATTAAAATACTGGAAATACAAAGATGTGAAGCTTCAAGGAGCTTATGACCCCTTGATGTGACATATATACAAGTAAGTAACACAAGACAGAATGTGATAGGGGAAAACAGGAGATCAAAACAAAGTCCCCTAGGGAAAATCGAGGAGGTTTAGTTTACTGAGACACAGAATTTCAGAGTTGGAAGAGATCTCAGTGGCTATCTAGTCTAACTCTTCTCCACTCCTACCCTCTACCACCCCCCAAAAAAATCCCCACTACAACACACCTGTCTAAAGATCTATACTGTTCATAGGTGCACCTCTGATGCAAGGGACTACTCAGAACTGGAAGGTTAAGATATGCAGTTTCCTTAATAAAAATGTTCAATAACCCAAGGTAAAAGCATGTCATAAGGTGATAAAAGCAGTCCATGAAAAGATTAAAGATAAAAGAAGCCTAAGAGGAATTTAAAGCAGCCCAGGTCCCTACTGTCTAAAGGATTTCTCCCCTCCAGAGTTCTAGAGATGCCTTTATAGTCTTTGCCCCAAGGGCCCCACACTCTACCCTCACAAATGCTCACAGCACAGCCCAAGGGCTTCATTTTTTTCATCTTTGCAGCAAAGCACAAGTATCAACAAAGTGCTAGCATGAGGCTGCCCACACTGCTCTGCCCAGCTAGCTACGGCCAGCTCACACTGCTTCTGGCCCACCCACACAGCTGGTATGGCTGGGTCCTGCAAATCAAGTGCCACTACCCTTTCTGTTGTGTTACTTGCTGTCAGGCAATGACATTTGGCAGCATTAAGGTTATGGGGAATGCAGTGGTACTCTCATCTGTAGGGGTCTCGTAGCACTGACAGTGGGCTCTCAGCAGTGAGATAGTGATGTTGGCAATAACATCCTGCCTTCATCACTGAGCGAGCTGCTAATACAGGAGCAGAGCACCAATTCCCCCTCAATCTCTCCAGTTTTTTCAAAAAGAAGTCATTACATTAAATTCCATATGTGGCATAATGGACCACTCACAGCCTTAGATATGCAATTTCTTTAAGAAAACCTTTTCAATAACACCTCAGTAAAAAGCATTTCACAAGACAGTAATAGAAATCCACAAAAAAGAAAAGCAAACAGTCTCCAAGGAGATAAAAGCAGTCAGCAAGGAGAAAAAAAAAGGTCAGCAAGGAGATTCTGAGGTTTCAGAAGTTTCTCTCCTAGTCCTAAAGCTATTTTCATCTGCTCTTTTCCCCAAGGGGCCCACATTTGGGTCCGAGATTGCCTGCTCAGAGCCATGTTAACTGATACTGCCCAGTTCTGCTTGTGCCCTGACCCTCAACTAAATTATCCAACCTTTGCTCAACAACCTCCCAAGGCAGCCCATTCCATTTTGCAATTGTACTATTTACGAGAAAGTTTCTCCTTTCATTAAGCACCAACTTTGCCTTTTTGCAATTTCTATCTGTTGTTTCTAGTTCTGCCCTCTGGGACCACACAGTAGTCTAATTCCTCTTCTAGAGGATAGTTTTTGGAGCATTTGAAGATGCTAGTCATGTTTACTTTAAGCCTAAAGTTTTTCTAGGCTAAACAACCCCAGGCCATTCAACTGATCCTTTTATGGAATAAACTCAGATCCTTCATTATTCTGGTTGCTCTCCCCTGGGTTTGCTTTTTGTTTTTTTTCCATTATCCTTTCTAAAATGTTATGCTCAAGACTTCTTGGAGCAGGTCATACCTAATTGTGCTTTGAAAAATAGGTTTCTCTCATTATCAATCAAAGTTTATAACTAATAATAATAATAATAATAATAATAGCTAGCATTTATATAACACTTTGAGGTTTGCCAAGTGCCTTACAAATATTGTCTTATTATATCTTCATAACAATCCTGGAAGGTAGGTGCTATTTTTACCCTGGTTTTTACAAATGAACAAACTAAGGCTGAGAAAGATTAAAAGACTTGCCCAGAATAAAATAGCTAGTAAGTGTTCTGATGTCAGATTTATACTCAGATATTCAACATATAACAATTTTTAAAAAGTAAAATATGATTAACCACAGATATAAATGCTATTCCAAAAGTCTTTGAGTTACATGTGGAGCCATTAAAGCTGAGGAATCTTCTTGTTTATTGCACAATTAGCAAAGGGTTCAGGGAGCTTTTTGCATTTTTCCCCCTTGGTGTCCCAGAATTTAAACTTGTACCACTGGTGATATTCCAACTCCCATGGTAAATTTGCCGGCATATCATAAAGCTACTTTCCTCTACAGTCCTACTCAAAGGTCTTATTGTTGGAGTAGGGTGAAGAGGTGACCCTGGATTCTCAGGGACTATGCCAGCAAAGCACAAGCTATCTGTGTCCCCGGAAGGAGTGCCTATACTGCCAAAATCATGATATATTTTGCTGCAAGTATTGGAGCAAAAAAGAAAACTATCTGTCTAAAGCACTGAGATGTTTTCATCTAGTTAGAAGCTTTTCATATTAGAGAGGTTTAGTTTCTAGTAGACATACTGTATTTACTGTTTATATAGAGAAGGTTTTTGAGTATTTAGTTTAATAAGGATGTTCTCTATCCTTCTACCTTTCAGATACCAACTTTGTTTGATACCCAAATATCTAGCTCTGCCCTTGGGAATAATGAAATGTTTGTTCTGTAAGACAATAAGGTCGAGTTAGATTATTTTGTGAGGGGGATGGTGTCTCTTGGGATCTAAAGAATCTTATTAAGTACTGTTACTTGTACTTGGGAAATTGTAAGTAGGGTTTAATAAAACAAACAAGTTGAGATTATACATAGAGGACGGCTTTATTTACAGTTTGATACATAAAATACAAAGTTGCCTTTTATGGGTGCTGGAATGTCCAAATGGACACCGTATGCTGACAATGGATCAAGAACAGAGATATTACTCTGTCTTCTCATGTAAAGGCCAAGTGGAATGACTGAAGATCCTTCTTTGTTCCTTTGACTATGCACTGCACCTGGGTGCTCTGCATAAGTACAATTTAGTTTAGAATAGCTTCACGGGTCCCCAGAAGGTCTCTTTAACAGATGTTGCGAACACGGAGAGCTATTGGTTGACTAAATGAGCAACTTTGATGCACAGAATGGTATCACAAACCATGAAGGGATTCAAGCTCTGGGGGCCTTCAAGCAGTGACTGAATGACCACTTGTTGAAGGAGGTTATAAAGGCTCAGGTATGAGTTGGGTCAGAAGACTTGTGAGGTCCCTCCTAACTCTGTTAAAGGATAATAAATTTAATCTTATGCATATAAAACATTTTAAAATGTGAAATATTAGCTAATTATTCAAAATTGTTTTATTAAATATCATTATGTGTGTACTCTGCTAGTAACAATACAGAGTTTATTCCAAGTCATAATCCCTGTTGTTCTTCAGAATGGAATAATGGCCTTTTAACCAGAGTTAAATCCTAGTTTAGGGAATTTCAGATGCCAAATGACCCTGGAGCTGATGAGATGATTGTCTGAAAGTGGAGAATGTTAGTCATGATGAAGAGCAAGCAGGCCCCACACTTGGGGTGTCTTCCTAAGAAGGAAGAAAGTTGGGTGGAGACAATATGAAAAAGAAAGGGGAATTGGTTGTAACTGGGAGGAAGGTAGGAGGGGAAAAAAGAGGATAGTAAAGAAAGGAAACTGAGCACAGAAATTTGTTTAATTTGTGTGAGGAAAGGCACAAAAGGAAAGATTAAGTCAGAAGATTTGTGCTAGAAGCAGATGCATATCCATAGTACTAATAAAATGACAATTGAGAAGGACCTCATATGTACATCATATGGTCTAATCTCATCCTTTTCCAAAGGTGTAAATATGGGAAATTATTAACATATGTCACAAAGCAAGTTAGTGGCAGAACCAGGTCTACTAGATACCTACCTAATCCAGAGCTCTTTCCATTGAAGTTGTAAGCTGTCTCTCTTCTACCATAACAAAGTTTTCTCATACCTGTTTAGGGAAATGGGGTGAACAAAGCAAAAGTTTACAAAAGCACAATTAGGAAACCAGTCCTGGAAAGACAGATTGAGGACCTGAGGCAAACAGAGCTGAGTTGCATGAGCAAACATCTGATTTAAAAGCAAACAATATTTGGAAAAGCAGGCAGGACCAGATTAACAGTCCAAATGCTCCTTAGTGAGCATGTGCAGGTAACTGATAGAAAGAGAGAGAGAGGGAGAGAGAAAGAGAGAGAGAGAGAGTTTTATGAGTTAAAGAGAGAGGAGAGAAATTTCTGAGACAGCAAAAATCATGGTTGACATTGCTGTGTGAATTGGACCCTGTGCTGTAGCCTGAAACACAGTACCAAGAGAGATGGTTTGGAGGATAATATAGCAACATCTAGAGAACAGAGAAAAGTTGAAAGCAGATACTAGGAAGGAGAGGCCTCAAATTCTTCCTTGTGCCAGAGGCATTTCTTGCTCCTCCACCTATCTTCATTGATTGTTTTTTCCCTCTGAAATTACCTCCAATTTACCCTGTATACATCTTGTAGGTACATAATTGTTTGAATGTTGTCTCCAGTGAGCACTTAATAAACGTTTATTCCCTTGATTTGACTTCGTTACGAGTGCATAACCCAGTAGAGCTTATTGGAGAACTTAACAGAGAAAGCAAGATGGCATGTCTTTAGAAACAGTGGGAAACTCATAAGGTAACATAATAATACCATAAATGACAGTAGGGAACACTCAATATGGGGCTCAATGGGACTTGGGGGGACTTCTTTATTTGTTGACAGGATTACAGACTTTCAGATCAGAAGGAATTTCAGAGAACATCTAGTCCAACCCATGTTTAAAAATGAATCTCGGGGCAACTAGGTGGCGCATTGGATAGAACACTGGCCCTGGATTCAGGAGGACCTGAGTTCAAATCCAGCCTCAGATACATAACATTTACTAGCTGTGTGACCCTGGGCAAGTCACTTAACCTCATTGCCTAACCAAAAATAAATACATGAAAATGAATCCCCTATACAACATACCTTGCAAAGATTATCCAACTGTTACTTGAAGATCAGGGGGAGTCAGTGAGAGAGAGACAGAGACAGAGAGACATGGAGAGACAGACAGAAACAGACAGATATAGAGAGAGAGGAGAAAATTGTTATGTTAGATCGATTTCATAGAGCAGCAGCTGTTCCAACAAGAGTCTGTCATTCTTACTTTCAGTGAGAAAATCATAAATAGTTCCTTTTTTTCTATCAGCAAAGTATTATTAGGCATGCCTATACTACATGGGGAGGTGCTCCTAAGATGCTTCCAAACAAAGGCCCACACCCTATAATCTCATCAAGTTGATTTGGGAATTTCAGCAAATTGATCCAGGACTTCTCCTTACATATGATTAAGCCTGCTTTTAAAGACCAAGTTGTTCTCCATGTTCTTTAGAATTATTTGCTTTCGTTTTTGCGTTAGGTAGACATATTTAGAAAGCTATCATGTGTTCATATTCCCATGGGTTGGATAGCTTTTGGAACTCAAGGGGCTAACAAATTCTTTTAAATGGAAAAACTTTGTTTTTGTTTTTTTTTTTGAAAAACAGCCAGTAAATCTAGAGATTTTTTGACTTGAGCTAAATCCTAGGAACTAAGCCCAATCCTGAGCTAAACTTAAAGATTATGAGATCACTCCTGGCATTTAGAAACAGTATTTAGTATATTAAAGAAATGTGGGAATATGTAGGGCCTTAATTTTTTATAACTGGCCTGCTTGGGGTATTAGCCTCTGGGTTAAAGAGCATGGACATGTTTGTCATCTTCTTAGCATAATTCCAAATGAGTTTCCAGAATGTGTGGACCAACTCACAGCTCCACAAGTAGTAGATTAATATTCCCTTCTTTCTACAACATTCACTACAATCCTACAACACTAACCATTCTCATCTTTTGTTATTTTTGTCCATTTGCTAGGTGTGAGGTAAAATTTCAGAGTTGTTTTGAATTTCTCTTATTTTCAACTGTATAAAACACTCATGTGGTTAGTAATAGTTGGTAATTTGTCTTTTGAGACTGTTTTTTGATATCTATTGACTACTTGTCTATTAGGAAATGATTTTTGTTGATTTCTCTCTCCGTCTCTCTTGCTGTCTGTCTGTCTCTCTGTCTATCTCTCCCTTTCTCTTATTTCTCTCCTTCTTCCCCAAACACACACACACACACACACACACACACACACACACACACACACACAATTTTACTAATCTCTTATTTGGTTTTCATACTCTCTATTTTGGTGTTTAAATGGGGTAGGGAGTAATTTGTTAGTTTTCTAGGTTTTTTTTTTACTTGCATACCTAATTTGTTGGTCTGTTCTTTCTCTTTTGATGATGACATCTAACGACATATGAGCTTTCCCTCCAAAGACTGCTTTGTCTACATCACCAATATGTTGGGATATCATCTCACTGTTCTCATGATCTTTAATGAAATCATTGGTTTCTGTTTTGTTAGCTGTATGATTTGCTATTTGACTCACTCATTATTTAGGATTAAGTTATTTACTCTACAATTAATTTTAATTATTTCTTCATCAACCCTTTATTGAACATAACTTTTATTATACTGTGATCCATTAAAATGTGTTTAACATTTCTGCTTTTCTGCATTTGTTTGTGAGATTTTTAATGCCCTAATCTATGGTCAATTTTTGTAAAGGTGCCATGCACAGCTGCATGAAATATGCATACTTCTTTCTATTGTCATTCAATAACTGTCAGAAGCCTATTATATCTAACTATTCTAAATTTCTATTCAGGTCCTTAAACTTTTTTTTAATTTTATTTCTTTTTTGGGGGGGGATGAATAGATTGAGATTCCCCAGTATTATAGTTGACTATTTCTCCCCTATAACTCACTTAACTTTTCTTTTAATTATTTAGGTGCTATGCCATTTAGTGTATACATACTCAGTATTGATATTAATTTATTGTCTATAGTACCTTTAAGCAAAATACAGATTTCTTGTTTAATCTATTAATCAAGTCTGTTTTTGCTATTGCTTTGAGACCATGATTATTATTCCTGACTTTTTACTTCAGCTAAAGCATAATAGATTTTTGTGAATTTTTGTTACAAACATGGTTTTTCGTAAACAACATATTGCTGGATTCTGCTTTCTAATCCAGTCTGTTATTCTTTTCCATTTTATGAATTCATCCCAATCATATTTACAGTTGTGATAGTTAATTGTGTGTTTCCCTTTATCCTGTTCTCTTACAGTTTTTCCTTTCTTTGTTTCCTATTCCTTATTTACAAAATGATGGTGGTGAGCAAAGAGTGTGCTCAACACCAACATTCTTGGTTGGTTTTAATCATTTTCTACTCCTCTGCCCCTCTTCTCTTTCCTTTACCGAGAGCCCAATCATACATTCTTACCCTTTCTTTCCTCTCACCACCCTCCATGGTTATTTTGTTTTCCCTATCTTTCCTTGAATCTTCTACCTCTATTATTTTCTCTTTCTCTTTTCACCTTTACTCATTTCCCTATGGAGTGAAATGTATTTTTGCCCCTAACTATGCATCTGGGAACTTTTCTTGTCTTAGTGGAGATCCTCAAGCCTCAAGTCTCTGTGCTAGAAGGATCCAGCCAGTTAGTTCCCTCTTGGCTAGATTTATCCTGTGTCTGTACACCTCTTTCTTCCTATGTCTAGCTGGGTAGGACCCAGTGGCCTGATTTATATCTTGCTACTGGATCCAGATGGCTCTGGAAGAGAAAATGAGGCTGGTGACTTTGCACAGCCCTCCCTCACTTAAATCCAATTCACTTGCAAATCATGGCATCACCTTCCAGATGTCATGGTCCTCTTCAAGAACTGAAGGACAAACAATAGTTGGGCTGGGGAAAAAATGATTGTGATTTTAACTTAGATTTCCTGATCAGGACTCAGTATGGTGCATTTTCTAGATCATGGTGGAGTAGATGAGGAGAGGAGCTTGGCCACACTGCTTCCTCTTACTCCACTATCTTGGCTAGTCTCCCTGAGCCTATAATTTTTGAAGGTTTCTGGTGGAGAGAAGCTAGAACATGAAGTCATTCTTCCTGTTACCCACTTACAGATAAGAAGGCAGACAGTCAAATGGAGTGTCCAAAATGTGAGTGCCAGTTTTCAAGCCTCTTTCTTCTAAGGCCCAATGAGCATACAATGAGGATCTGATGCCAAGAAGCAAGGGTTGCTATTTTCCTGATAGTCACTATTACCCTACCCCTGCCTAGAACTGGTGAGTGTTCATTTGTGAGAACATAAAGTAGCCAGAGGGAGCTGTGAATTCACTCTCATTTGCCTATTAAAGAGGGACTGGGCCAAAGTTTATATCTAGATTAAGCTGGTAGATGATTTCTTCTCTCCATGAGAGATCCCTGAGTTCAGGAGAAAAAGGTAATTTTACTGCTACGCACAACAATGGAAGCCATAGACTTTTTCTTATTAAACTGTCTCCTCACCACTGTGGCTCAATCATTGTCCTTTTATTGCTATTGTTTTATTCTTCCATTTATAAAAAAGGAAGGAAGCAAAAATTTATTAAGCACCTACTGTGTGTCAGGCACTAATTTTAAAAATATCCCATTTGATCCTCACAAAAAAACCCTGGAAGGAAGTGCTATTATTATCCCTATTTTACAGTTTAGGAAACTGAAACAGACAGAGGTTAAGTGACTTGCTCAAGGTCATACTGCTAGCAAGCATTTGAGGTCTAATTTGGATTCAGGTCATCTTGACTCCAGGGCTAGTGCACCACCTAGTGCTTATGAAAGAAATCTGGCAGCCCCTCCAGGGGTGGGCTACCTGTGGTCTTGAGGCCACATGTGGCCCTCTAGGATTTCAGGTGTGACCCTTTGATTGAATCCAAACTTCACAGAACAAGTCATCTTAATAAAGGATTTGTTCTGTAAAACTTGGACTCAGTCAAAAGGCCACACTCAAGGAGCTAGAAGGCCACATGTGGCCTCAAAGCTGCAAGTTCCCCACCCCTGCCCTAGACTGTATGATTAATATGAATGCAAGAAGAGATTTGGGCAGCTAAGTGGTGCAGTGGATAGGATGCTGGGCCTGGAGTCAGGAAGACTCATCTTCCTGAGTTCAAATCCAGCCTCAGACACTTACTTGGAGAAGGAAGTAGCAAAGCACTCCAATATCTTTGCCAAGAAAACCAAAAATGGGGTCATGAAGAGTTGGACATGACTGAAATGACTGAACAATGACAACGATATTTGGAGAATGGTGTAGATTTCTGCCCAGGGAGAAACCATCTCCGCTCAGCATATTGGTGGCATAGAGGAGGACTGACAGTAATTCCTTGTGCAAGTCAAAAACACAATGAAAACACATTAAAATGTACCCCTAAGTAAGTGCAAGATTCCATAAAGACAATTTGAAGATAACCACACATGGTAGAGTAAGAGCAGGCATGAAGGAAGCACAATTGGAACTATTCTTAATCAGCCACTGCCTCCATTCCAGGCAGCTAGCCTGGAGCTATTTTTTCTTTTTTTAGGCAATTGGGGTTAAGTGACTTGCCTAGGGTCACACAGCTAGTAAGTATCAAGTATTTGGTCTGAGGTCACATTTGAACTCAGGTCCTCCTGACTTTAGGGCTGGTGCTCTATCCACTGTGCCACCTAGCTGCCCCTATTTTTAATAGAATTGGAAACTTTTAACACTGGTGACCTGTTTGCCTGTCTTCTTTTAGACTGTTGAAAAAAATTCATAGAATTGTCAGAATTGAAGTTACCTTAGTGACCATCTTGTCTACCAAATATCTAGAAAAGATTCCTTCTACAATATAACTCCAGCCTCTATTTGGAGGCTTCCAATGAAAGGAACCTACCCCACTCCTCCCATAGGCAGCCCATTCCAATTTTGTATATTTCTGATTTTTAGGACGTGTTTTCTTTAACTCCAAATGGCCTTTATGCTTACATTTGCAAAGTCCATGCATCGGCTAGTTACTCTCAAGAGCAAAAAAATCTAACCTCTTCCAAGTGATGGCACTTCAAATACTTGAAGACTGTTAACACATCGCCTGCATAAATCTTCTCTTCTTTATATAACATAAATTTGAATCTCTGTAACATCCCTGTTGCTTTCCTTTAAATCCTTTCCTTCTAAAATGTAATGCCTAGAACTGACCACTACACCCCAGATACAGTCTGATGGGACGTGACTCAGCAAGATGATCACTATCTTATTTCTGGAAGCTATGATTCTCTTAATCCATCCTAAGATAGCATTAACTTCCCTAGTTGTCATATCACATTGTTGACCCATATTGAGTATGTATTGTTTAAATTGTTCCTAACAACAACGCTGTGAGGTAAGTTTTAATGGTATGCCCATTTTACTGATGAGGAAAATAAGGCAGTGAAGGTAAGTCATTTGCCTACAGTCACACAACTAGGAAGTGAGGTAGGATTTTTAACTCAGGCTTGCTTGTGTCTTGTACTCTATCTACTACACTACCTTGTGAGGCAATACTGCTGATAATCTTCTACCATCCTTCTCTGTAAGATTTTACATGTGAGTTTATATTTTAAACTGGTGTTGCCCTTGGCTACTCTCTCTCTCTCCATTTAGCAAGTAAATCATAAAAAGACTAAAGTACTTTTTAGGCTCCTTTTGTCTCTTTGGTACAGTTCTTTATTTACATTGATCAAACTTCTGTATAATATTATTGTAGTTTGTGTCTTCCATCTGCATCCCATTTTTTTAAACCATCATAACTTTCTCAAATCAGTCAGGATAGAACTTCACTTATACGTCACATTCGTTTTCTCATTCTTGTTCTTTATTCTAGCTTTGTATTAACATTGACTTTTGTTCTAAGAGGTCAGTAGGCAGATTGTATATTTACAGCTGACTCCAGAATAATACTCACAATAGTAATGTGTTATTTCTAGTCTGATAACATAGAACCAATTTCATTTTTGTGAAGTAATTCAGTGCTTACTTTGTCTAGTGTCTATTGCTTTGGGGATATAAAAGATTTTATTGATGTGCTTTATTTTCTTACAACCCTATTCAGATCTCAATAATTCTCCCTCCCCATGGGACCTTCCATTGCAATAAATTAGAAGAGTCAAGCCAAACAAATTGACACATCGACTATGTCTAAAAATGTATACCTCGTTCTGCACCAAGTCTCCTATTCATTAACCAAGCTACAGGAGGCACATTCACCACCAGTCCTCTGAAGTCATTCTTAGACATTACAGTAATTGGTACTCCTAGATATTTTCTCAAAGAAAATATTCATGGTATATAGGCATGAGGCTTAAGTGTAGTCTACAAGTCTTTGGCCTTTCTCATTCCTTATTCCTGGTCCATATTTTCCAACATCTATTATTACACAGGATTATAGATTTAGAGTTAGAAGAGACCTTAATTCATCTCCCTAGTTCTACAGATGAAGAAACTGAGACCCTATTTCTCAACATTGTCACCTACTCTCTCTTACCTCTGCATTGAACTCACAGAATATCAAAATAGATGTTAATTCGATTTGTAAGGTCATAGAGAATTCTTCCTTAATTTCAGTACCTCCATTCTCTGTAATAGATGGTACAATTATTTTCATGATAATCTTTCTGCAAATACTTCATTGTGATTACTGCAATATGAGGTAACCAAATATCTCATAAAATTGAAAACATACTCTGGCTTAGTCTTTCCTTTTAGGCAACAGTTATTCTGCACTAAAACAGATATGTTGGCTATCATGGCCATTCCATTTCCAGATCAATTTTTAATCTAGATCACATTGCTGCTTCAGTTTGCTTGTATGTCTGATTCTTCTCTCAGTTCAATCCCATCCTGTTGTAGCTCTGTATTTCAATCAATTCCTAATACAAAGAAAGATTTCAGAATAGTTTCTTGGCGTTCTGATAATTGTAGTCTTCACAGTTTATGGTCTCTGGGCTGGAGGACAGAATTTCCACTAAAGAACACATTTGAACTGCTTCAGAGAGGCGATAGAAAGACAGACACAGATGTATAGATAAGAAGATGGAAGAGGCTGAGAAGAATGAATGATGTTAAGTGAGAGTGCCTGGGTTTCACCAATGTGAACAACATCTTTGTAGCTGTGATTAGTGTGAGAGAGTTGGTTTTCATCATCAAGAATTCCAGGCTAGTTCTTTTCCCTTTCTCTCTGCTCCCTTTCTATTTGAAAGACTAGGTGTTTTCTGTTCCTTTTAAGCCATTCTTTTGCTTTTTTTTTTTTTGGCTTTACTTTTGCTATACTTTAAAGTTAACTTTTTCTAGTTGAAGATAAGATCCATCTTTTTTGTTTTTAGCTGTGTATTCCTTAATTGAGTACAGAGGGTGCTAATGGGGAGAGGGCAGCAGCTAACTTGAAAGCACCTTATTAAACAGTTTGGAGAGCCCTCTCTCTGGTCAAATGTGAATGACTTCCCTGAGGCCTTGACAAGCTGTGATGATTTTATTAATAAGCTGTGTAACTTTGGCTCACACTGCCTGAAAGCCATGTAATTGTTGTTGTTGTTGAATAATAGTAACGTATAAATGTATACACAGCCAATTATGGCTATGTTTGTGTTGTTTCCCTAGGAGATGTTACATTTCATGATGGGGTTCCCCAGCACCCCATCCCCCAGGGGTTGTCTAGTCTCTGTCATTGGCTCAAGCATCTACCCATTGGAATGTGTTCTCCCAATTTTAGGTGTTTTCAGAACCAGAGTTCCATTTTATCACTTAGAAGTCCATTTAGTGTTTACAAAAGAATATTTACTTCAAATGTTTATCAAGAAAAAAAACATACAAACATTCCCCACCACCCACTCAGTGGGGCATAATCCTTCCTACACTGGCTCAGTCTCTGGGGTATACAAGGGGATTAGGGGGCAGCTAAGTGGGGCAGTGGATAGAGTACTAGCTATGGATTCAGGAGGACCTGAGTTCAAATCGGGCCTCAGACACATAACACTTACTAGCTGTGTGACCAGTGCAAGTCATTTAACCCCATTGTCTAGCTAAAAAAGAAAAAAAAAGGGGGGGGGGTTTAGATTCAGCTTAACTCAGTTCCTATAGCAGAGTTCCACCAAGTTTCAAGCCATAGGGGAGGAAAAGAGGATAAACATTTACATAATACCTACAATGTACTAGGCACTGGACTAAGCACCACTTTACAAATATTATCTTATTTGATAAATAATATTCTCATGGTTCTATATAATTTCCTTCCAACCATTCCATTTTACAAAACATAAGTAACCAAGGTACGTTCTAAATCTACCCCATGGGCTTGTCTCCCGCCCAGCACTCCAGATACTTAGGGCTTTCCTGTTGCCTGCACTTAGAACTGAAAAGGACAATTGAAACAGATTTGGGGCAGAGGGCCTAACAAAGCCCAGTTACATTTGTATTAATAAGTTCCCAAAATAGCAGGGAAAGGAACCTACGTGGATTCAGGTCAGTTTTCCTTAGGCTAAAAACCAGAAGCTCTTTGTTGTCTGAGTTTGGCTGCTTTTAAAGACTGTAGTGGTCTAGGAGGGATCAACTCTACCTCTTTGCTGTAGGTGGAGGGAAGCCCTCCTCAGCAACACGTTAATTATACGAAAATAACTATTCATAGCGCTGTCAGATACCAGATTTCCAGAGATCTCTCTCTCTCTCTTTCTGTCTCTCTCTCTCATATGCACACACACACACACACACACACACACACACACACACACACACACACAGAATGTGAAACATACTCACCTTCATCCCATATATAACCTTAATTTGGGTAGACGACATAAAAGAACTTTGAACACTTAGACATAAAGATATCAAGGAAACTAAAAATTCCATAGTTCAGCAAGATGCAATCCTAGCATCAGTAACAGTATCCAGGATTCCCTTTACAAAATAACTAAATGGAAAGGAATTCAGTTCTCTATTGTTCACTTGATTTGCATTCTCCTACAGTTGGAGGCCCTCTTGCTTCCCCCTCTGTGGCTGGCTACGTCCATATACAGTTATAAAACTGAGGACTGTTGGTTCAGCTGCCTAGTCATTTCTAAAAAGTCATTCAAAACCCGTTTACCCAAATATGACTCCCTTAAAGCTTGAAAGGCCTTTTTTGGAGCCCTTCCTCCTACTTCAGGCAATTAGATGATGATGATAAACATTAGCAATACAAAAGCATCCAGCCCTAATGAGGCGGAGCCTAAATTCTGAATGTTTCCTTTTCTAATGAAGGTAATCTCTTTCTGCATCTGAAAAAGTTCCATCCCTCTAGGCTGCTTAAAAGATAAATGAGGTTGGAAGAGATTCCCCAGCAACACTGAAAGAAGGCTTAATTTGCTAGCTTGAAGTTCCATCAAAGCTGTAAAGACTAGAACAATTTAGTGGCATTTATCTTCCATATATTCATTTGGTTCTCTTACTGAATGTCCCTTACTGAACGCAGGCAGTTAACTTTCTAATCTCGTTGGAGCTGAGGGTGCTTCAAATTAAACAACTACTACTCTGGAGGCATCACGGAAAGCTCCACCAGAAGCATGAAGTCCAATCTAGGCTCACCTTCCTCTGTAAGGCCCACCCACCACATAAAGGAATTTTAGGGCTTTTTTTTTAGGTTCAATATTGGAATAAAACGAGACACTCCTAGATCATTCAACAATTAACGAAAGGAAATTACTTAGCCATAGCAAGAGAAGGATATACAACAAGGATAGGGCATTAAGAACCCCTTGAGTTGATTCAGCTAAGTAAAATTCCCATTTCGATTCATCAGCCAAGCATCTGGGAGGTCAGACTGTTAAGGATCTTAGCCATTATTCTCCTTATTTTTCAGAACCAACTAAATCTGAAGGAAGGTCTCATTATCTTTTAAGACAAAAACAGCTGAGCTTATGTGGGGGGAGGAAGGATTAGAATCTAGCTCCTATCACTCCATGTACATGTTTCTCACCAACAGAATCTTTGTCTTTGAAGGCAGAGACTGTGGTTTTTTTTTTTGTTGTTTGTTTGTTCTGTTTTTTTTGTCTTTGTAGCCCCAGTGCCCCACAGGGTGTCTGGCATATAGTAGATGCTTAGTAAGTGCTTCTTAAATGAATGGAATGATTGTTCTTGTATCCTTTGTGGGTTTAATAAAGTAGAATTGGCCAATTCCTTTATCATTCTCTCAAAGGATAATCTATTAGGGATTTTTCCATTTAATTGAACCTTCCTTCTTTCAATCAGTTAATCAATAAGCATTTAGTAAAGCCCTATTATAACAACAACAACAACAACTAGCATTTATAGTGCCTACTATTTGCCAGATATAAGGTCTTTACAAATATTATTCCATTTGATCCTCATAATAACCCTGGGGCAGGTGCTGTTATCTCCATTTTATAGATCAGGAAATTGAGGCAAACAGGGATTAAGCGATTTGCCCAAGGTTACACAGTAAGTATCAGGGGTCACATTTGAACTCAGGTCTTCCTGACTCCAAATCCAGTGCTCTATCTACTGTGTCACTACTATGTGCTAGGATCTTGGCTAGATGTTAGGATACAAATACAAGGGTAAGAAAACCTTGCCTTTAAGAGGCTTGCATTCTATAGGGTGGAAATAATAAACACACAGCAAAGTAAACAGAAGACACACACAAAATCAATATCAAGTGATTGTCAGAGTAGGAAGGAATCAGGCAAAGCCTCTCTAAAGAGGTGATAGTTGAGCTGAGACACAATTCCCAGAGTTGGAGGTGAGGAGGGAGAACATTCTGGGCTCTGTGGGATGGCCTATGCTAAGGTGTGAAGATGGGAGACAAAAAACTATACACTCGAAACTGCCAGGTATACCAGAACACAATGCACTTAAAAAAGTAATTTGAAATCAATCTGGAAAGATAAGGTGGAGTCAGATTTTAAAGGGCTCAAAATACCATACCAGGAGTTTCAATTGTTTCATACTAGTTACAGGTATCCACTGAAGTTTCTTAAATAGAAGAATCACATGGAATAGAGGAAGAACATACCTGTGCTTTAGAAATCTCAATTAGGAGCTGGGGATGGTGGCACACATTTTGTAATAACTGGTACTGGGAAAGACTGAGACTGGTGGATTGCTTTAGCTCAGGAGTTCTGAGCTGTAATAGAGTTAGAGTTGATAAGGTGTTCTCACTAAGTCTGGCAACAGTATTGAACCTCCTGACTGGGGGGATCGTGGGGGAGGGGTGCAGCACTGGGTTGCCTAAGGAAGAATAAAATGACCCACTATCAGAAACATATTAATAGCAGTGGGATCCAGCCTGTGAAGGGCCACTGTACTTCAGGCCTGAGGAGGATAAGAAATAGCAGTCTTAAAAAAAAAAGGAATATAAATTTGTCAGCTGTCTGTAGGATAGATTGGAGATAAGAGAAGCTAGATACAGAAAGACCAACTAGGAGGCTATTTCAAATCTAGGTGAGAAGTGATGAGTGATTGAATTAGGGGGATTGTGGTGTGAGGGATAGAAGGCAATGGATGCAAAAGATATTGAGGAGATAGAATCATTAAGACACAGTAACTGATAAAACACTTTTTACACAAATAAACTCAGATTTAAATAATCGGAGTAATATTTATTGTTCATGGGTAGGTAAAGCCAATATAATAAAAAATGACAATCTTATGTAACTAATCTATTTATTCATTGCCATTCCAATTAAGTCACTAAAAATTATTCTGCTGAGTTAGAAAAAATAATAAAAGTTTATTTGGAAGAACAAAAGGTCAGGAATTTCAAAGAAACTAGGGAAAAAAAGATGTAAAGGAAGGAGATTCAGAAGTATCAGACCTTAAACTATATTACAAGGTAAGAGCATTGTTGAAGTGTAAAATGGATAATTTTGATTTTAAGTTAAAAATTTCTTTGTATATATAAAACCAATATAGCCAAGAACAGAAGGAATGCAGAATATTGGGGGGAAATTTCATAGAAGATCTCTCAGATAGGATATGATTGTATTGGAATACTGCTTTGGTGTAGGAAATGATGAGCTGGTTAATTTGGAAAGACTTGAATCTATGAAGGAAGATGATGTCAACCTCTAGAGAAAGAGATGGCAAGTGGAATTATGCATAGTATGGTCTTACACATATGTGTATGAATATATATGTGTATATTTATAGACATCTATGTGTGTGTGTATAAACATTTAATTTTAGTCTTCTTTATGGTGGAGAAAAAATAAAGTAAAAAGTGCACAGAAGAGAACAAAAGAAAACCTATAAAGAAGCAAAAAAAGGCTTGGGTATCTTTGAAACAATGTGTAGTGTGTATTATATAGGTTTTCTTGAAATGGAAAATTATTGTTTTATATTGAATCCTCTCTTGTGTTCTGCTATGTACATGGAAATAAATGAATAAAATATTTATAAAAAAAACTTAGTAACTGATTGGATATGATGGGGGAGATGGTGAGGGGAGGGTGGAGGATGATTCCTAGTTTGTGAACCTAGATAACTGAAAGAATGGTGGTGATTCACTTAATAGAAATAGGCAAGTTAAGAGGATGGTTGGGTTTTGGGTGAAAAAATATGGATTCACATTTAGATGTGTTGGGATTGATATGCTTTTGAGACATCCAGGGTCATCAAGTAGTTAAAGATATGGTATGAAATGGAAATTGGATATGTAGATTTGGGAGTTGTCTATGTAAGGATGATAACTGAACCCATGGTAGCTACCATGATCACCAATACAGTATTGAGAGGGAAGAGAAGAAGTTACTGTAGAGAGCCCTGAAATGTACTCACAGAGAGACAGTGGGGTGTGGATGATAATCTAACAGAGGAGATTGAGAATAATTAATCAGGCGAGGGAAAAACCTAGAGAGAATATATCATGGCAGGCCAATGAGAAGAGAACATCCTAGGAGGAGGAGTGTCAAAAGTTTCAGAAAGGCTAAGAAGGACAAGAAAATGAACAGTAAAAAAGAATTAACAACCTTGGTAAAAGCAGGTTCAGTCAAGTGGGGGTAACAGAAGTTAGGGGTTAAGAACTGGGAGAAAAGAAAATAGAAGCAACAAATATAGGCAGATTTTTTTTCTAGGAATTTGACTATGAGATTGAGGAGAGATGATAGCTTTGGGCAATGACATGGTCAAGTGAAGGCGTTTTTGTTTGCTTTTTAAAGATGGGGGAGATCTGGACATGTTTATAGGCAATAGGGATGGAAACTGTGGATATCAAGACTGACAATTATAAAAACTGAGATTACCAAAAGAGCAAGCTTCTCAAAGAGAGTACAGGGAATGAGATGAAGAATACAGGTCATGGGGTTGGCTTGGCAAAGAGAAAGTCTCCCATTCTCTGAGACTGGAGCAAAAGTAGAGGATGGTGAGTGTAACCTTTCATAGTTCCTTATTCTCTAAATCCCAGAAGAGTTAATTCTTGCCCTCACCCCTTCCCTACCACCTACCCTGCCAGTGAGGTTCCTAACCTAGGCCATAGGGACTTAATTAATGGTTTGGAGTTAGACACCTTTACTCCCACTGCCTAGAAGTTTGGAAATTGGGGAGACACGGGGTTTTGGTCTTTCTGGCTATTGTGAACTATGGCAGAAGAAGACATGTCCCTGGCATGCCAAATTAGAACAGTGAACTTCTTTCCCTGTAGAATCATTGTTACAAATATGTGGGCATCTATAGAGAATTAATCTGAAAAGAGTAAAAGTATTGATATGCTGATAGCATATTGGTATTGATTGGATGATATTATGTAACTTCCTCTAGCATTTTTCTGTAGCATGGGAACAGGAGTGGAGAAGG